CCCTGAACACCCCAGTGCCACCAAGAGTGACCCACACACCCCTGAGCCCAGCAGTGCCCATTTTAGATTCAGAGTGGCCAGAACTAAACCCACCATTCCAGTACCACCAGTGATGGTATTTTTGTATTTTCTGTATTCATTTCCAAGTCACGCCGGTTTTATGCTTTAATTTTAACTGTGCATCGAGGTAGGTGYCTCCAGAGTTTCAAAATTTTAATCCTTTAATGCAAGTCTGCTGTTGCATGGAAATCTGAGCGTTCCTGGGGATGAGGAAGATCAAATTTCTCTGCTGTCTACASGGCAATTTGTATAGACTGGGAGCCAGAGCACATCTAGAATCTCACCTGTAACTTCTGAGCTGGGCTTAATTAATTCAGCATGTGGGCAGAGTGCATTATTTGCTGTACCACACCTTCCCTGCCTTTCTTCTTTTTCCTGGACTTTTCAAAAAGAGGACTGGGCAGGATTCTATTTATAGAGCCAAATAAACCCAGCCCTGCCCGGGCTCTACGTGATCCCAGCAGCTTTTTAGATGTGGGCCCACCAAGTGCTGAATGCCCTTCATGTCCTGCTTCTGCCAATCCCATAAAAAAAACAAAACAGTGGGAATTGGAAGGTCTGGGACCATACAAGATAAAAGAAACAGCTTTGTAGTAACACAAAGGTGAAATTATTCCAGCGTGTAGGATGGGGAGAGCTGAAGTTCCTGATCTTTAAGAACATGGAGTGAACTTCATTAATTGTYTTGTCTGCCAATTACCAATGGAAAAGATTCTGGAGGTGTTTTGGCTCCTGTTCTGATGATTTGAGAGTTAAATTCTGATCAGATGTCCCYTCCCTGAAATGGCACAGGAGGGAAAGAGAACAGGGAAAGGTCTGGGATTGAAGAACAAGGCAATGGGCGATTGAGGGGAAAATAAAATATTTGGGGCATTATYCCACTCATGCAAAGACAACAAGGCTGGCTGAAGGGATTTAACTGGGCTTTGCAGGAGCAAGAAGGAACAGGAAAGATGCCAGGCTCAAAGAGGGGAATGGGTGAGTAAAAAGTTGATTAAAAACTGCACCCAGATGGAACCTGAGCTTGGTGACAGCAGCAGCACCCCTGGAATGACCCGACCCCATCAAGGGAGAGGAAAAGAGGCTCCTGCTCTGCTTGGCCTCGCCAAAGACTGAAGGGAAGAGCAGGGAAAAGGCAGTGCTGTCTGCTGCAGGAGGTGCTGATTTACAGTGAGATCACAGGAACTCTTCCTGCTCTCTCCTCCTGCAGCTGAGCTGTTCCTGGCTGCATGCACRGACAAGTGGAACGGTGCTAAAAATAAACCCCAAAGTTGTGCCACCTTCATGGCAGAGCTTTGCAAGGAATCAGATCTCAATGAATCAGTCCCCAGTTCTTATGGGTTCAGCYTTTCCTGTAAAAATGCCACCTGAGTTCTCAAGCAGCTGAGCACAAATCTTTTCCACTTTTTTCTTTGTAGGAAAACGCCTCAGAACAGACTAAAATTTGAGGAGTGTGGTGCAACCCTGTGGATTTCAGCAGAACTGCTGTGGCTTAGGCTGCTCCAAAATTACATCTGAAGACGTGGTCTGAGGGCTCATCCGCAGGGATCCTGAGCCAGCAATTCCTCAGCAAAAACCAGAACCAGAACCAGAAGTGACCCTGGCCACAGTGTCCATCTCCACGTGGCCCTGCCATGTGCTCGAGGTTGTGCAGCCCTACTGCTGGACAGGAGGGTTGTGCTGAGGGAAGCAGGACCTGCCCAATTTCGCTGGAGCCSATTATTAAAATTGCAGCAGATAAAAAACTGCATCTGGCAGCTCCCTGTGCCCTGGTGCTGCCAGGCTCAGCTGGGCTGGGTGCAATCCCTGCCCCACCAAGGGCAGCACATTCCTGATTTGCACCTTCCAGGACAGCACGTGCCAGAGCCCAATCCCACACGGGAGCTCTGCTTTGGCACAACCATCATCACCTCAGTGCTGCAGATCAGAAATTTTGGAGTTGAAACTCTCTAATGCATTATGGCTATAAATAGTTTGAGATATCCCTTGTTTTGCACCTTCTGTACATCTCCAGTGCCCTCAGAGCTCTTGGGTTGTGTTTGGGTGATAAAAGGGGCTCTGTGGTGTGGGGTGAATCCATCAGGAGCAGCTCCCACCCCATGGGTGAGAGAAGGGTGAACTCACAGAGTGACAGAAGTGGGTCAAGGCTCCTGCTGCCTGTTCTAGGTCAGACAGCGAGAAGCAAATAAGCTCTTCCCACTGYTTAAATTACCAGTGGGGAACTTCCCGTCCTGGTGTTTATCCCTGACTACCCCGCTGCAGGAATGTGCTCCAGAATGGCTGAGGAGGACACAGCCAAGAGCTTCGGGTGGGGGAAACCAAACCAGGAGCCCCCAAAAGATCTGGTGTTGATGGGTGCAGCTCCAGGAATGTGCTCCGGAATGGCTGAGGAGGACACAGCCAAGAGCTTCGGGTGGGGGAAACCAAACCAGGARCCCCCAAAATGTCTGGTGTTGATGGGTGCAGCGCTGCCCTCCCAGAGCTGCTGCAGGAACAGGGATAAAGCCGAGCAGAGAAGCAGCCAAGCCCTTGTGTAGTTTGTGGTTTGGCCTCCTGCCCATTYTGCCCTTCAAGCAGGAAATTCTCAAAGGGAAGGGAGTGCTTTGTGAAGCTCCCTCAGCCTCTGCTCTGCTTTAGGCCCAGCTCAGCAGCAGGTCAGCTGGCACTGCTGGAAGCTGACCAGGCAGACTGATGGCGCCTACACAAAGTATTTAAGCAACTTCTCCACCTTGATCATTTTTCCCTCATCTTTTTTTTTTTTTTTTTTTTCTTTACTTCTTTGATTGCTGTTATTCAACGCTGAGATAATGCACTCCTGATATCACTGAGATGGGAGAGACAAGACAAGGAGCAAGAGATCAAAGCAAGGAGAAGAAAGAGAAGATGCCAAAGGCAGGAGAAGAAAGAGGGGAAAATACCAAACACTTCCTTGATTTACCTACTTTACATACCCGGTAGTTTCAGAAATCCTTCATGTACGTAATTTTGGGAATTCTGGGACTATCACGTAGTCCCCAGACAGCAGGAGGCTGTGGAAGGGCATCCTCCTTCCCYCAGCTGAGGAAGCAGCTGCAAAGGTGGATCCAGAAAGCCCAGGAGGGCCCTGGCACCGGCGAGTGTTGGCTGGGCTTGAAAAGGAACCCGGGCTGGAAAATCACCGCGTTTAAAGCATCTTTCTGCTTCCCTCTGCTGGTGGAAGGAGAGTGTAATTCCTGAAAATCCGGCAAGAAAGGCAGCAAAACATAAAATCATTGGTGTTATCCCTGCACAAGGATTAACTCCACCGATTGCTCTGAATGTGCTCCCAGAAAATGCAATGTGTGTGTCCTGGAGAGCTCAGAAAGATGGGAAAAAACAGGGCCAGAGCTGGTGGGTGGCACAAATGAGATATCCAGAGTCACTTCCAGGCTTAAACCACTGATATTGCATTTCTCATCCTGTTATCAGCTGTGATTACAAAGTTAATTGAAAGGCCTGAATCTAAATTTGGTTGCTGTTTTCCTTACTGAACAGGATCATTATCAGAGGCAAAAAAAAAAAAAAACCTCAGACTTCAAACATTTTTTATTTTTGTTATTCACTTGTTTATACTGAAAGGCCTTTGATTGAGACTTAAATCTCTTTTTTTTCCCCCTTCCCTGTGGTGTTTATAAGGAATGGAGGAAATGTTGAAATCTAAAAGGAACAGCCAAGGATAGCAACACTGAATATGGAGATGCAGGAAACATGTGAATGCAACAGCAGCTTTCATTTGAAACGGGATGTGTAAGATAAAGGCAAATCTCACATTAATGCAGTATTCCAGTCAGGAAAGCAGCAGCCACTCCTGCATTTCATTTCCCTGTTTTATTTTATTTAAAACCCCCGTGGAAGTGTTGATGAATGTGACTCAGTGCTGTTGAATCCTTTTTGCAGATTATCCTTGAGTGAGTCAGGGATTTGAGCAGCTTCATCACGGGGTTCTGACCCCTCCAAACCACAAATTTGTGCACAAATTCAGCCATCAGAAATATTGTGATAAAAACACCTCACCTAATCCAACCCTGAAACCACAGAGCTTAAATAGAAATTCCACGGATTGGCTCCRGTGCTGTGAGGGAGCAAAAAGGAAATTTTTCCCTGCAGCACATCATGATTTGATGGTATTTCTTATTCTCTTGTGCCGTTTTGGCCCCAAATGGAGAAATTTTGGAGCTGGAACTCTCTAATGCATTGTGGCTATAAATAGTTACAGATATCCCTTGATTTGCTCCAGTAATAAACCCTGCCTGTGCTTTGAGTGACAAACATTGGCGTGGTTGAGGTTTTCACCCTTCAGCTCTACACTGACTATGTAAAGTGCTGTTTATTTTTGGGATGTGGCACCAAATAGTGTTTTTCTGCTCGAGGTACCTCATGCTCCATCCACAGCATCCCTGAGCTGTAAAGGYAGGAATCCAATCTCAGATCACACATTCAGTGTCACGATTCAGAGTAGAGCCATGATTTTGTTTTTAAGCTCAGTTCTAAGCAGGGTCGAGGGTTCCAGAGCTGACCCAGCTCAGCCATGGCCTTTGGCGACTCCATTGAGTGAACGCGGGGCTCAGGGGGCGAGAGGGGCTCAGGTGAGTGCTGAGGTGACACCCTGAGGTGACACTCTGAGGTGACACTCTGAGGTGACACCCTGAGATGACACCCTGAGGTGGCCGCAGATACCGCTCATGTCACCCCCTCACCTCGATGGCGCCACCGGAAGTCGCCTCACGCCCAAGCCCCGCCCAGGTGAGGCGGCGCGGTGCACGCTGGGATTGACGGATACCGGAGAGGCTGAGCAGCGCCGGAGCACCGGGAACACCTCCGTGCCCCGCTCAGGTGAGCTGTGCGGCCTGTACCTGACAGCACCTGTCGATAGCTGCCGGTACCTGTCCGTTCCTGCTCGGGCATCCCCGGTCCTCACCGGGAACGCGAACACCCGGTTGCCAAGACAACAGCGACCTAGCTCTCCTCCAATCACCGCGCTCGTTACTTGGAGCTCTGCGGCAGATGGCCAATCACAGGCGAGCTCTCAGCGCCGCCGCGGCTGGTTTAAGGTGGCGCCTTAAGGTGGCTCTGGCGACTGCTCGCGCCACCGGAGCCGCGCACACGGGATGGGCGGGAGGGACGGGTCCCACCGGGGCCAAGCGGGATCTCACCGGGGAAAGGCGCGGGGCCTGGGCCGGGGAGCGCCCCGGAGCTCCGGGCGGGATCGCCCCGCCCCAACCGAGCGGCGGAACGCGGCTTCTTCCGCCCGGCCCTTCAGRATCCTGCGCCCATAGGCTGGGTCAGGCCCCGCCCTCGCACGGCAGCCAATCATCGCCCTCAGTTGTTGCCCAGCTCTTTATTGACAGCTCTGATAGCCAATCGAAGGCGGCGGGCAGGAAGCGGCCGCGGCGTTCGCCCGGAGCCGGAGCTGGAGCTGGGGACCGGGGCCGGTGTGGAGCAGCGGCGGGGCCGGTGAGTGCCCGGGGGACAGGGGAGAGCACAGCGGCGGGGCCGGTGAGGGACAGAGGGGACAGGGGAGAGCACAGCGGCGGGGCCGGTGAGGGACAGAGGGACAGGGGAGAGCACAGCGGCGGGGCCGGTGAGTGCCCGGGGGACAGGGGAGAGCACAGCGGCGGGGCCGGTGAGGGACAGAGGGACAGGGGAGAGCACAGCGGCGGGGCCGGTGAGTGCCCGGGGGACAGGGGAGAGCACAGCGGCGGGGCCGGTGAGGGACAGAGGGACCGGGGAGAGCACAGCGGCGGGGCCGGTGAGTGCCCGGGGGACAGGGGAGAGCACAGCGGCGGGGCCGGGGAGGGACAGAGGGGACAGGGAGGGTACGGGTGCAGGGCCGGTGAGTGGCGGCCCCGCTGCACCGGAGGGTTTGATGGGAACACGCCGTGTCCCGGCCCGGGGCTGTCTGAGGGCTCCCGGACAGGGTTTGCTCGCCATGGGAGGGGGATTTGCGGCCCCATCCCGTTACAAATGGGTGTTTTTGTCCTTTCATGGTTGTTCGGGGTGCCCGAGGGAGGCTGCCGGGCAGGATGGGACGGGTCCCGCTGTGGCAGGAGGGGATCACGGGCCGTGTTCAGGTTTTTGGGCTGAGGATGCTCCTCCTGCACCATCCCGGGTGGGCTGAACGTGGGGAGGGTCTGGGGAGGGTCTGTCCCACAGCAGAATCTCCTTCAGACAGAGCCGGGGTGACGCTGCTGCTCCCTGAGCTCTCCGCGGGTGCAGAGAGCGCTTTCCAGACACCTCCAGCGAGTTTGGCTCCGAGGAATTTGGGCTCGGAGGAATTCCTGCTCCAGATTGCCCTGGACTGACCTCGGCTYTGGGGAGAGCAGCGCTGTCATCCCCAGCACGTGGCCATGGGCTGACTCATGGAGCTGCTCCCGAACAAACCGGAGAGAAATGAAAAGCAGAGCTGGGAGGAATTGAGAGCCTTTGTGATGCTGTGAAATGCCAGCTGAGTGTGTCACCCCTGGGGCCCAGCCAGTTCACAAGAGCTCCTAAAGCAAAGGCTGTGTGGGTTTCTGTCCAAGGCTTTCTAAGAAGACATTTTAAATCTGCTTTCTTTTTTTTTTAATGTGCGTGAGTTTGAGTCCAGGGGTGTTTCTGTGGCCTATTCTTCACTGCAGGTTCAGAGCACTGATTTATTCTATCTAATTCTTTGTTTGGTTGGTTTTTTTTTCCCCTCTTAGATTCATCTTGAAGGAAACTGGCTGGAAACAGAGGCTCATCCCTCTCCTCCCTGCCTGACACAGGGCAGGGGAAGGAGAGCAGCAGAATTTGTTTGTGCTTTCCTGAACTTCTCCAAGAGAACAGGATGGATGGCAAGAAGTGGTATCAGAAGCTGGCTCCAGCAGTGTCCAAGTTTCTTCTTTAAAGAGAAGTTCCAGCATCAAGGAGGGTGAAAAGCAAGAAAAAACAAAACAAAAAAACCCCGAAATGGAAGGAGGCAACAGCCCCGGGCTGCAGCTTCAGCAGCTGCCGTTGGCCACAGCAGCAGTTTCTGTGCAGCCACACACAGACTCCTTCTCTTACAAGGTCAGTTTTGCTCCCCAGTGCATCCCAGAAGGGCCTGGATTTTGGGATGAGCTGATCATGGTGCTGGTTTGGGGTTATTTTCTGCTGAAAGTGCTCTGTCTGTGGATTCAGCCATTCCTGGGGTGTCATTTCCTGTGTGTGGTGAGAGAAAGAGAGAAAATCTGTATCTGCAGAGCAGAGCAGGTGGAGGAGGGAGTGGCAGGGGAAAGGTGTGGATGTGTGAGGATGGTTCATTCCAGCAGGTGCCTTTTCACACCAAACCATGCAGCAGTAACTGAGAGCACAGGTTCTGCTTTGCTCTGTGCTCAGGAGCTTCAATTTCAGTGGGGTGGGACATGAGGCTGGAATTGCTCCTTGTTCTCCAGCTGGGAACAGGTAAATTCCATCTGAWTCCCTGATTCTGAAGGTGCTCAGAAAAGCTCAGCAAAAAGGGATTTTCTTYCCCTGAAGCTCCTTTGGGGCCTTGTGAAAGCTGACCCAAGCACTGTGCTCCCACACCCTCCTGCCACCTTCTCTCCCAGTCCTGGGAACATCTCAGGGGGTTTTGAATGAAGTTCTTTGGGCAAATCTTATTTCTGTGCATTCTGATGAAGAGCTTTTTGTTTTTGCTGCAAAGAATTTAAAATCTCAAAGTTCTGGTTGGAGAAAATGCAGATGAGTGCATTTATTCATACTCACATATGAGTGTGAGCTGGGTTATCCCAAATCAATCCAAGGGAGCACTGGACTGAATGAACAGTGCTAATGACATTTAATGAGATTTAGAGAGTTTGGGGAGCTCACAGATGTTCAATGGCCTGGCTTAGCCTCAGGCTCCTCCCTTCATTCCTCCTCTGCACCTCCTTTGTGACTCAGCCTGCTTTACATCTTGTTTTCATTTCAAATTCCATCTTCAGAGCRTGAGAATTGTTGTTGAGCTGGGAATGCCAGTGCAGCAGAGCTTGGGAGCTGTCACGAGTTCCCTGTGATTTTGGGAATAACAAAAATCAGCCTAAAATCTGATAATTGGGCTCCCTCATCAGATGGGCTGAATTAGTGACTGAACCAGCAATTGTCACAAGTGGAAAAGAGCAAAATAGTTGGGAAACAGAAGCTCCTGATCCATTCTCTGTCAGATTCCAGGGCAATAAAATCCTCATAAAGGAGTTTTCCAAAGGGAAGGATGAGTGATGGTGTGGGGTTTTTAAAACTTTATCTTCCTCCTCTCTGAGAAGCTGCAAACTAATTGAAGCCTCTTGGAGAAAGTTAAGGTTTATCTTCCACCTGAGTTCCCAGCTCTGCAGCCACAGAATTTATCTGAATTGCCCCAGATCAGTAGGAAGGGAGGAAGATAAACAGATTTTATTGCCTGGTGGGTGTTGGRCAGGATGACCTTTRAAGATCMCTCCCAACCCAAACTATTCCATGATTCAAGAATAGTTTTAAAGTCTGCTCTCCTCCAGAGTGTGCAAACCCCCTTGAATTCCTTGGCTAAATAGAATCTTTGTGTTTGATTTTGCAGGAGAACTTGATTGGGGCATTGCTGGCTATTTTTGGGCACCTTGTCAGCAGCATTGCACTCAATCTCCAGGTGAGTGTCCTGAAGGAAATAATGCTCATCCTGCACTGCATCAACTGTCAGTGATGCCAAAGCTGCTTTCCTCCTGTTGTGTGTCACAGAAATACAGCCACATCCGCCTGGCAGGCTCCAAGGACCCCCGRGCCTATTTCAGAACCAAAACCTGGTGGAGTGGATTGTTGCTGCTGCTGCTGGGAGAGCTGGGGGTGTTCTCCTCCTACGCCTTCGCTCCTCTCTCGCTGATCGTGCCCCTCAGTGCAGTGTCTGTCGTGGGTAAGGAG